GTCAATTAAATAATAGTGAAATTAAAATATTCCCAATTTTTCGAGAAGGGTCCAATTACAGTTCTCCCTCCTGAAGCTCGTAGTAAACATATATAATAACTTATTTCACCTTAGCATTTCACCAAAATCTGTTCTTGAACACATTTTAGGCGAGAAACAAGCAGTCGAGTTGCTGAATCTTCACTCATATTATGTGATATCACCACTCCTATCCCGCCTACAAAGCTCTGATTGTTCAGTTGGTGCTCGAACCTGGTCTGGAATCAGCCTACAAAAATGCCCTTCTCCCATCAAAAGTGACTTATACTACTGCATTATTTGATACAGAGACACACAAATGCAACTCAATCCCTGACTGAACTACAAATTTGACCCCAGTAACTCATATTTAGCATTGTGGTTGTTCCCTACTAAAATACCAGCCAGCAACAAACTACTCTTGCCTTTAAAAGCATGTCATTGGCTGGTTCTTCCTGTGAGAAAGTCTACTGGCACCCGAAAATCGTTGGGCCAAACCTATTAATCCCCAGAATTTGTGTAGTGTGGGCCAGTGGAAAAATCTTAGTTGGGGAAGTGAATAACCAACATCGCATCCCTTCAACCACACTGTACTCTGAACGGGTCCAGTGGAGCTGCTCAGGGGCCAAAAATAACCTCTGAGAGCTGAAACAAGATAATAACTTCTTTTTGTCTCCCCGAAACATAATCTTTTGCCAAAGCATGCATGTAGTAAAATGTTGGATTTCTACAGTGTCTTTTTTGTGTAGCTTGACTTATTTTTGTGTCTCCAGGCTGTTGTTTATAAAATGTGTACAGTAAATAAATGATCGAAATGAGCGATCCTGTCATGAAATGTTCTTTTTAACCAACATAAAAATGGATGTTTGAGACTTCACCCGCACTGTGACAAGGATAATGTAGGTTTGTTACAACTTCAATCTTACTTTCATTGCTTTGTCCGCTTAGTAGCTGTTTTGGAGCTGATGGAGTTTGCCCTGTTGTCCTTAACTTGTAGATGTCTTCATTTTCTTTGTGTTTGAGGACTGCTCTTCCATGTTGGCTTAAATCTGCTGATGTGACAGAAGTGATAGAAAGCTCCAGGACAGCTACTAAATGGACCTTCAGGTGAGAATATTTTACCAGCTGCTCTTTTCAAAGTCGAGAATGAACTTTGAAGCTAACATGGATGATCAGAAACATTACTCATGATGATAGAAAGCACCAGAAGACATACTAAATGGAACTTGTGGTGATATTTTTTTATCAGATGATTTACAGCAGATATAGAGGACAGGACATATAACAGGCACAAAAAAATTACAGGTGACACTGATCTGTGTTCACTCCTTAATGTAAATAATTTCTGCTGTCCTTCCAAAGTACTCTCACAATGCAGTGTCTTTGAAACAAAAACACACCGCTCTCCTGTCTGGGACGATTAAACCAACATCAGGTGCAACCTTGATGGTGAGGAGAAGATGACTTCCTGCTCGCCCTACAAACTGTACATGGAGAGGTTACGGCAGTCTGGAGAAAATCCTATTCACACCTGGCTCAAACACTGCACTATTCGGGCCACAATGGGAGCCTTTCTTTCCCTCAAGTGACACAGAGCGTCCAAGGTCAGTAAAGTTCAGGAAGCACATGATTTTTATTTGAAAATCTATAAATTGTGAAAATGAATGCCCCTGTGTTTATTTGTACTTCTCTCCACTCTCAAGCCCAGAGGCCTCATTCTGCTTGCCAGCTGCCAACCTATTAGCACCCCACAGAAACCCTAACAGTGCTGCCACGGGCCGGCTGTTTGTTTGACTTTGTCATACTGAATTGAGACACGTAGACTTGGTGGACGGGAGGTGAGAATGGGCATTGACTCATTTTGAAGGGTGCACTTGTTAAATCTCTGGCCATCTTGGATGATGTTTAGACTGGGAAGGAGTTCCAAACATTTGACTCTGGTCTTGGACGATCTGCTTGTGGGTGAGATCTGTATTGCTGATGAATACTGAGAGGTCTGAAGCCAAGCTTTGCATTCTTTCTGGACCTCAGTGCTGACTCGCACATTCATTTAATGGGGAGAGCTTGAATAAACATGGAAAAGGACAGAAGCATTTGGGCTTTAAGGACAATGAAATGTGCATGAACGCAAATCAAATTGTTATCACAGAATGTGTGTTAAATGGAGATCTTGGAAGGACATTGAGTCAGCTATAGTGGGATCCAGCCACAAGTTGTATTTGCATACATAAGTTTTGAGACATAATATGGTAAACCAATACAAAGGAGGTGAATAGAACTCCATTGAAGATCACTGAAACAATGTTCCAATTAATCTGGATAATCCACAAACAATGGAACTACTTGCAGCCAAACAAATAGTCCCAATGGAAACTAAATGAAGTGATTGACACTGCAACCACATTCTGTTAGAGTCTCCGATCCCAAACCGAAATTACACAAAATCATCACAGGTTCATTCAGTCCCTAGAATCCAAAACCTAATCCAGGATCAGAGCTGGTCCAAGTGATATACAAATTTCTTTGCATTGTACAGCTTGACTCGACTTCATTCTCTTTTGGTACCAGGCAGTTTTCTTGATTTGATTTTCCACTGCAGTTAGTACCCCTCAATTTAGGTGGGATTCTTAGATGAGCGTCAAAGCGACACTGCTTTAAACTGCCGTCACCTTCAGGGCAGGAACAATAGAGGATATCGAAGGGATAGTGGTCTTGATTCTCGGTAAGTGGCTGTTTGTCACAGCAAGGAGACAAACTTTGTGGCTAAGGGAGCAAGACAAAAGACAGCTGAGAATCAAGACGACTCTGGTTGCTCAATTCTAGTGACGATTGTCCTCTTTTTGACCAATCAGTGGCCTACAGTGTTTTCGCTCCAGCATTTAGTATCAGCTCAGCTCGCTTGGAACCTTGACCAAAGTCATACCAAAGAAAGTACCAGGTACTATCCACAACTGATTGTAAAACCGGACACTGCTCTTTTCAACCACAGTTGATCATTAATTGGTGGTGCATCAATGTGCTGTAACATTTTTCTAGTGTAATTTGTTAATGTTTTGAACACCACAAAGTATTTTCTTGGTGTAGAGGCAGATATTTCAGGGGCCGTTCTTTAACCCCACACATAAAACCCAAACAAAGGTTGAGTGATGAAATATGTTATACGTTATTCGGATTGGCCCTTTAAGCATTTTACGGTTACTAGCAGTGTTCAGTTGCTGAGTCGTTGTAAACTGCGCAGCCACTATGTTCAATTTTCCATCTTAATAAATGTCACACAGCTCAATCTTTGTCAGAAAGGCCAAACAGTGTTCCAGGCAGCTGCAAGTGTATGGTCTGGAGCCCCGCACAGGAGGAATCTGTCTTGTAAACCGATATGGCTGCCCAGTCATGACCTCAGCCTCCAAGTATGAATTCTCAGTATGATCTGTGGGTTTAAAAGCCCGGCTTTGCAGGATAACTGAGACTAATTATCATGTGTCTCTGTGGAAAACAACAGAAGGCTCAGAGATGGCTGGATGAAAGGGATGCACTCTTAAGGTCACAGCATTATAGTGCCCATATGGCATTATGTCAGGTAACAGACGCACAGCTTAGGTTCTTAGATCATTGCTGTCTTGAACAGTTTTGCATTATATAAGTAAACTATCAAAGCATGGTTTGGCTGTGTTTCTACCTCACAAGACAGTGAAAGCACCAAAGATTTTTTATGTGGAACTTACTCCTCATATTTCACTGTATGAACTCTGTGTATGAACTACAATAAACCCAAACTCCCAAAGTGCCAAGTAATGTTTTTCCCCTTTCATCGGCAGATGATTTCTAGTCTATAATGCAACAGATGTATTCAAGCTGTTATCCAGCAGGCCTTTAGGAGCAATGGCCTTATGATCCAGATGATGTACACAGTGACTCATGTCATGCAGATGGCAGGTGGTCTTGTACAAAGCTCCTCTGGCATCCCCCTGGGGTTGGGAGGATGGATGCGGGGCCCGGTTCCCCCAGGGTCTCAGCTGTGAATGGGTTAAAGTGATAATAGCTCCCACTCTGCTTTGTCCATTAGCTTTAAATACTTGTGGCTTGATGTGATGTAACTGGAGTTGTGAGGAGCCTTTGCATTTGTAGCTTACATGAGATCTAGATGTTGTATTGCATTTTAAGATTATGGCGCTGATGAAACACCTTAGTGGTTGGCTGTGGATTACACACGTTTATACAATAAAAAAAAAAAAAATTGAGAGACCATTTAAAGACAACTACAGTGTTTCTGCTAAGCCTGTGGACCAAATACCAGAACAGGGGTACTTTAAGGAAAAAAACAAAACAAAAAAAAAAAACAATCCTGCACCTCCAATGATACAGTAAAGCTGTCCCAACAGGTCACAGTTGGAAGAGCACAGGTGTAAATTAAATGGCTGAATTCCATTTATATTATTGGCTTCATTTCAGGGTCCTTGGTATTGTGCATGCTGGGTCACTGCCACAGCTTACTGAGACACTTTAATAGAACAGAGCCATTGCTGCAACAGCTGTGCTTTTCTTACTGTGACAAGACAGACTGCTTTAAAAATAAAAAAAAATAAAAAATTTAACATTAGTGTAAACAGATGTTCTAAATGTCTGATAAAGGTAAACACTATGTAGCAATAGCAGTAAATATGTAGTGTCCTAAACTACAAGCATTTCTATGCAGTATGACAGTGTAGTCATTGGATGCATGACATTTAGGAACTACAGAAATTCACCATGGAATAGTACTGGATGCAGCACAAAAACCTTAATCAGCTAAAACTCAGTGGCCTGGAGAAACTACAATAGGGTATTAAATGCTTAAGTGTAGCTCTGAGGTAGAAATGTTGACCCATAACCTTGAAGTCTCTGCCCAATTTGCCTGAGCAGATAATCTACAAACTAATCACAGAAGCAATTGAAAGCACAGTCTTAGAGCAGCCTCTAGTGGTGATCAAGAGTAATGACAAGGAAAGTTTCTGGTCAGAACCATTTAATAGACACTTAAGAACAAGACATTTAAGAATGTAAAAACAGTTTAAAAGAATTGCTGTACACACATTCACACCAGGAAATCATTTTTAAAAAAAGGGGGGACACACCTGTTTACTGGACCCTTTACATTGCTCACCATTTTAAAGCATGCAGCAAGCTTGCAAGACTTTGTGATTTGATGAAGTTGCACTGAGGCAACATTCAAATGTGTTCAGATACTCTACAGTCAAAACTTCAGTTGGCTAATTAGTGCATTAATGATCATGTAATCAGTGAAAATGGTGAATTAGGTTGCATTACAGTAGTTGTAGCTGACTGAATCTTGTGGAGTAAGTGTCTGAAAACTTGGAGCATGCTCTGGAGAGGGTCAGGAAATGTACAAAATTTCAGTTGGTTAAACATGCAAACCACCAACATGGTCCTTGCGTGCTGATCCTTCAGTCACAATAAGTTTTAAGTTACAACTGTACAATCAGCACATGGTGCTAACATTTAGTCCTCACTGGGTGACTTGCTTTGCAAGATCCTTCACCACTGAAGACTTGAGCTGTGGGATAGAGGCAATCCTCATCTGCTTTGAAGTGGAGTACTTTCCTTTAATGGCCTGCAAGAAACAAAGATGAGTTAGACGTGTATAATAAAGTACCACACACACTTTATGGTCAGTGTTCAAATACAGGCTCTGCAATAACATTCCTCGGAGTTTAAGCCAATAATGCTGCTGTCTGAAGTTCAGAGTAATCACCGGCAGGTAATGCAAGTAGAGCTACACCTACCGTGTGTTTGGTCAGCCCCTCGTTCACTTTCATAACATTCTTGGCAATGTGTGCCATCACAGGAATCAAACTCTCTGCTGTGTAGTCCATGTAGTGCTGCAGCGTCACATCCTGAGGAGAGAACAGATCAGTATTTACCAGTCCCCTCAAATAGATAAACCTTCCATTTGATCAATAATGCCTCTTTGCCACTGAGGCCAACAGTTATTAAAGACAAATTGACTATTTAATAGTTCTACATTTCTATGCAGCCTAAAAGCTATAGCAGTCTGATTAAGTAGGACTATAATGAAGCCACTGATGACCACAAGTCAAACTCACCCATTCACCAGCATCTAAGATCTTGAGGGTAAGAGCCAGAGCAGCACTTGCCACCATGGAAGGTGGGAAATGAACCATCTCATAGTCAACCATGGTGAGCTCCAGGAGGTATTTTGCCAAGGTGTGTTGCTCAGCAGTCACCTGAGAGAGACCAGTGAGGAATAGACATTAGGGATTTCATGCCCTCAAAAAGCGGTCACTGAAACTAGACTCAGGTGGACGAAGATGTGGCTCCAAACCTCGTAAATCTTTGAGGCCCTTCTGAGGAACTGCAGGGGAAGAGGGCGGCCTAGTTGGAACTTGAGCACCCGGAGGATGGTCATCTCCATGTCTCTGATCTGGGCGGTGGTGTAGGCCCGGTCCGTCACATAGGCAAAGTCCGAGATCTCTGGGGGATACATCTCTTCGTATTTGGAAGCAAGGAACATGGCAGTCACACCGACGAGCTGCAGCTGCTTCTTGGGGACTGGGTGGTCCTGGTGGGGTGGAATCACATCAACACTTTACAATCCAGTTGAATGTAGCACGACAGTAGAAGGCTGGGATTTTTAGCTATGTAGTGCAGCATTCAACGCAGACAAGTGATGGGCTCTGGGCTGATCGTCACCCACCTGAAGAAAGCGGTCAATGATTCCCACGGTCATGTACATCGTTTCCTGGAGCAAACGGAACTTCAGGTTCACTTGTACCAGCCAGTCAACGAGAATAGCCCTCATGTTACCAGTCACCTCCTGCCCCTGCAGATAAGTGGGTTTGACATTCTGCTCGACCTGAGGAGACACGAAACTGGGTTAAAACCTGAGTGGGGGGGTACCAGATTATGTAGTTGTGGGAAAGGCTTATTAAAAAGTTTTAATATATTTGCCTCAAGCTGCCGGAGGTACTTGTAGATGTCCTTCACATATTCACTGCAGAGCATGGGGTTCTCGTAGTCATCTGCATCCACATCTCTGATAGCATTGTGAAGAATGACATCTGAAAATGCTTGACAGAGGTCAGCAGGCTCACAGCCTGAAGTCTCCATTGGAGTGGGGGATGCTGGTTCAGGAAGAACCTGGAATGGTAGAAACGCACAGCGAGTTTAAACCGACAGAAGCGCCACACCCAGGAGTCATGTGTTTTAATGGTCGATAGCTGTTGGCATACAACTCACCTGCACCTCGGGCTCAGGCTTAACAGGAACAACATTTGGTTTTGGCTTCTCAACTACTGCTTTTTCAACTTTGGTGGTGGTGATTTTGGGCTTCTTTGTGGCCTCTGTCTTCACAGTCTAAATAAGAAAGATGGGTTAAGTCAGGCATTTGTAGTTTAAAGTCATTTATGGAGAAAGAGCAGTCTCTGGTTCTATGTGAAGCAGTAACTAATATCTATAGTTAAACATTTGATGGTCAGACAAAACCAGCAGTTAAATAAATACCGGAGCATTTTTTTAACCCTTCAGAGGCAATTTGATGCACCCCTAGTTACTTAACACAAGCACGTGCATGAAGGACATTTAGTTGCACATTCAGACATTTGTTAACATCCCTTTATTCTGCTACATTTTAGGCCTCGACTGGGTACAGCTGCTCATCGTTTTACATATAAAGTTTTGCAACAAAAACGCTAACATGAGAAGTCGGCGAAGATTATGTATTAGTGAGCCGAAAATGCCTGCAAGACATTTTTTTTAACATTAAATGCATGGCTAGTGCGTTTGCATTGTAGCACCAGGAAGCTCAAATAACACGGCATTACATTTAATATTACGTAGGGCAAATTCAAGAGTCACATTACCTTTTTCTGCGGGTCTTTGTTAACTGCGATGTTTCCGATTTCGCCCAGCGCTGCTCGAGGCTTCAGTGAAGGTCCGGTCACCGAGCAGGCCTTTCCACCGAGGTCAGTCCTGGTAGAAGCCAAGCGGTTCTGTAGAAAAATATAACCATTTAGCGTGATAAATGAAGCTGCATTCAATGGTTTAAAGTAAGCTGCGGAGCTTTCAGCTAGTTTTCCTCATTTCTATTATGGAACGGTTGCACGAGAGCAGACTCCACAGCGACGCACGAGAGCTTTTAACACAGGCATTTCAAAAACATTAAATGTTTAAAAAAGAAACATTTGCTCCTCACGCATTCCCAGCCATAACAAACAACACAAGGAATACAAAAGCTTAAAGCGCTTACTCTGGTTACTCGAAGAGCCATTTCTAAATGTGCGTTGCTTCAACAGACAGACGGAGAGACGTAATGGAGAGTGACGAGCTGGAGTTCTAAGTTCGGCGTCTTGGTTTAAATCCTCGCACGCTGCACGCTGATTCGCTGCGGCCTGAATTCTCCGCAGCATCTGATTGGTCGAGCTCAGCTGTTTCAAATGCGTTCCCCTGACAACGAGTGGTGGATTTTTTTTGTGTGTGTGTTCACTTCCTTTTCCGGTCATGTCCTGTTTGGCATTTAAGATTACATAGTTTTTTTTAAAATGTATTCTTTCCATACACGAACAAATTAATGACCACGTGCGCGGTACATGCTCAGAAACGAAACAAAAACCTGTGGTGGGTTAATGTAAAATAAATAAATAATTCTGAGTAAATGAGTTTAACGCGTTTACATGTGTTGTTTGATAAACCCCAGATTACATGCATTTTGGCTTGGTAAATAATCAGCAGTTACCATTCGGGCCAAGGCTTTACTTTTTAGATTACACCCCGCCCAAACCAAACACAAGCACACAGACATTAGACCTCAGTGCCCAGTGCTTTCTTATCTTCTATTTTAAAGATGTTTGTGAACGATAAAAGGAGAAAATGTGGAGAGCATGTGCCTACTCTTCTGCACAGTGTTTATTATTTTAGTTTATTCTATAAAAAACAAAACAATAACAAATTGGTGAGCTCATGTGCCTTATGTGAATAATGGTGAGCTGTGTTAACCCAACTCAGTTTTGGGTTAATATTGAACATTATATGGAACTATATGTTGTTAGCGATTTTGAAGAACAACTAAAAGGAACAGATAAGAGCTTGGCAACCCTATGAATGTATACAAAGTGTCTTTCTGGTTTCCCTTAGCTACTACAGAATGACAGTGTAAGGAACACCTTACCCACCATGGACCATGAATTGGAGCATTTTAAACTCAGCTAAACACAACTTTTAAAGGATCACCCTACATGTTCAGTTTTATTGTATCGCTGTTTGTGGTTTGTATTTATTTTCTTGATGATTTTGTGTATTTCTATAAAGGACCATCAAGACATTGGCATTGCAAACTAGCCAAATGCAGTGGTATGTGGCATTGTTGATCCACTCTATTGTGTGTCAGAATCAGAATCACTTTTATTGGCCAGGTATGTGTGCACGTACAAGGAATTTGGTTTTACGTTGCTCTCAATGTACAAACACAGACTAACAATGTAAATAAACAGAACAAGTTCAACAAAAAAAGACATAGACGTATATGTACAGTTATAAATATCTATAAACAAACATTTGTAGACAGCAGACAATAGTGCATTGGTGCAGAGTGCAAAGGATGCCGAAATAAATATTTGACATGCAGGTATCTTTATGTACATGGGGAAGGTGGATGGGACAGAATATACAGTATGCACTGAAACTGAATGTTCAGCAGTGGAAAATAAGTCCTAAGGTTATTGTACAGGGCAGTTAGCTGTTGGTCAGAGTGATGGCCTGTGGGTAGACACTGTTCCTGTGTCTCTTTGTTTTTGCGTACAGGTTGTGTTCAGGGTGAGATGGATCTGCAGTGATGTTACCTGCCTGTTTGCAGGTAAAGGTCCTGAATGGAGGGCAGGTTGGCACAACAACAACAACAATCTCTGCTGAGCCCTCTTGATGATGGTATCAGTGTTGGATTACCACTTAAGGTCCTGGGAGATTGTGGATCCCAAAAACCTGAAGGTTTCCACAGCAGACACAGGGCTGTTGAGTATGGTGATGGGGGGCAGAGTTGGGGGGGCTCCTCCTAAAGTCCACTGTCATCTCCACAGTTTGGAGGGTGTTAAGCTCCAGATTGTTCTGATCACACCAGAGGGCCAGCTGTTCAACCTCCCGTCTGTATGCAGACTCATCACCGTCCCGGATGAGGCCGATAACTGTTGTGTCGTCTGCAAACTTCAGGATTTTGACAGACTGGTCTCTGGTGCCCTTATACTTATATCTTTATCTTATAGTTAGTATGTGATAATAAACAGGTGGAAATTAACAAGTGAAATTAATTTTAAAAAGTGAATATAGATGGGCTACTCAATATTAAATGACCAGATAATGGATACGGATCAGCTATTTTTATCTTAGCCCTGTGACAAGAAATACTTCCAACAGAGGCTCTCGGGCCCTTGGACCTGTGCCCTGTGCTTAGGCCTGTTGGGTAATCCACCGTAGGTATGATCACATACTCTGAGAACTGTTAATTTCATTGAGCTGTCTTTGGGAAGATACACACGACCAAGAACAAGGTAAACAGAGTGAACTAGCAATCAAAGCGGAACAGTAGAGTACAGAAATCATAGGGAAGCTAAAGCTTCCGAGGAGCATTTGAAGGCAACATATCTTCTCAAACTTGTTTTCTTGTGTCGACAGACAGACAGACAGACCCACAGACAGACAGTCTGCGTCTACCCTTCCTGATTACATGAACATTGATTTTTAACTAAGCAACAACGCAGTCGAAGCTACAGTCTGTCTACTTGGTGAAAGAAACAGGTTTAATGATCTGTAATAGTCCGTAATCTTCTGTGGCTCCACTCCAACATGCCCGTCTTCCAATCAGAGGGTCACAATTTCCGTGACGTCCACCGGAAAAAGAGAAGGACGTAAACGCATCACGTAAAGCAAAACAGATGCCACCACAAATCAGCGACAGAGGACGTCAACGAAATTGGCCGAAGGTAGTGCCAGGCGGAGTGGAGTCTATTTGCGTGAGAAGACAGAAGAGAAAGGCACAAACAACAACGACGTACCTAGACGGCCCTAGTTAGTTAGCTCCGAGATAAGCCTAGTTATTCCATCAACCCACAAAGTTTCGCCAAAACAACGTTTCTCGGAGACACAAGGTAAGTCAACCAACTAACTTAGTTAACCCCTAGCCAGCTAACATAAGTGGTTGTTTGGGAAGTGTCTCGAGTGAACAGCGAAACACAAACAACCTTAAAGTCACAGTTTTAGCTGATAATGTTAGCCTCGACCTCGACGTTAATGTACAATTGGCTTACTGAGTTAATTTACGGGGATTAAACACATCTTCCCTCTGGTTAGCACGTGTCCCCGAAAACTTTCCTCCTCCAACTTCGAGGTTGTAAATTAAACATCGCATGTTGTAACAGATAGCCACTACAAATAGCCTGTAGTGATTGTTTTTTCCCCAGCGACCTCTCCACTAACCGAGACACAACCTGTGTTTAACCTGGCTAACGTTAAGCTGCTAGTAGCACCAATGTTATCTTGTCTGTATCGATGTTTGACGATTATTTACGACTGTCTGTCGGACCGTTTTCATTAACACACTGTTTCGCGGGGTAATACTCGCACAGGTAGTTAATGTTCAGGTACACAGTCCGTCTGTTGCGGGGACAAAAACAAAGAGCAGACAAAGCAAAGGCGACGAGACTGCTAACACTTTTCTCATTTGGCTAACCTCTAGCATGCTAACATTAGCAGGAACACGAGAACCTAATCGCACTAAAACGACATCACAGTGCGCTTTGTCTGCGTGTCTTTTACCGGAAGGCTTTAATAAGTGCAGTGTAAGAGGTGGTCGTGTTAACGCTACCGGCGGCCGTGTAGCAGAGCTGTTCAAAGCGAGACGGTAGCAGCAGCCATTAGCTTGCTAGCATGACTCAGTGGATTTGTAGAAGTGACAGTGCTGTGGCCCGGTGTTTGTCAGGAAGCAACCGAGAGCTACGGGCTGCCTGAACCACCTCCAGTAAGCACACACAGCTGTATATGTGGTTATTGAGTGGAGGGGGATAGCTGTGTGTTTAAAGATAGCATGCTCCTTGTACCACCGATACGTGTCAGTGAGTGATTTGGGCTTTTGTCTCAGAGATAATCTTAAGATCTACAGGTGTTGTGTTGGATTTTGTACCCTTGTCACAATCTGCCCCCCCCCCGTCCATTTCCACACGACCCAAGAGGGGGGATGATTTAGCAGCCCCCCCTGTCTTCATACTGTGTTTACTCCCTCGGGATGGAGGATGGGATCTTTGGTGAGGAAACCTGCTCTGACAAGGATACAAATTCTGGCATGATACCAGCTCTGTTTGCAGCACTGTCGAGGTTGTCTATAAATAGATGTGTTAACAGCCTTACAGTATTGAGGAAACTCGTGTGTGTGTGTGCCTTTTGAGATCACAGTGTCACATTGCACTTTGCAGAGGAAAGCCACCATACACAGGTCCATGTGAGCGTTGAGCTGCATGGAGTGCTGCAGTCGGCCGGCACACACACGTGAAGGGGCAGCTTGCAGTTTTGGGGAGAGGAGGAAGCCTCGGATGCGGTTTTTACCAGAACCCGAATGTGGCAATGTTTTTGGTTCCCCCATGTTTTACCAAGGATTATGAACAGCCCCCCCTCCGCTCTAAAGATACCCTCACAACTTTCTGTAATGCCAGTGCAAGTTTATGTTTACTTGATTCACTTTGGCATTAAAGAGGGACTCATACACACTCTGTTCCAACTTGGAGGTCGTAGTAATTATGTCAATTTTAGCTAAATATACTGGTTTTTAGACCTACATCATGCCTGTTTGTGATAAAATAGGTATGGAACCTTATTAAACTACAGAAGCCAAAGCTATCAAATGTTGCCAAACAACATATTTGCCCAAATAACATATTGTACAATTTGTTTTTTTTATGACTTGAGGTCAGGGAAGATCAAGGAGGCTGTTCACATACAACGGAAATCTAAACCATCTTTGAACCAAGATAGGTCCTGTCCCCAGTCCCCCCCGCAGTTATCTCGTGCCTCGCAGTTCACACGCCAGTCATGTGATGACACGTGAGCCATATCATTTGCTGATGAAAAGTGGGAGGTGTGAGTTAAAGCTCTACAATATCCAATAAGTTGATCGTTTTGTCTCACATACTGCAAGTCGAAGTTTTAACTTCTGTAAATTCTGTACGGGAGAACGGTCTCAGTGCCAGCTTTCTGTATGATTTCTGTAATCCGTGCGACACAATTCACTCCCTATCCAAAAACAGTATTGAAGTTCTTTGAGAGGCATTTTGTAGACCAAACGATTAATCTAAAATATAATCGTCAG